TTACCAGAACGAATTATACGCTTGAACTTCAGGGATAGATTAGTTCGAGGGTCGGCCATCATAATCTAGTAAGCATTAAAATTCTTAAATTTGCCGGAACACTGTCTTCAATACCAGACCTAAACATATGTTTAAGTTTGTATGGAAAAAAGGCGATTATTTTTTATGACCTAGTCATTTCTACAAGCTATCAAAAAATACTATGGATTTTGCCATTGAGCGATCATGTAACGCTTAACCATTCTTTACTTATCAAGAACACTCTGGAGAACTCCCGATACAGATGCTTGGCAATGAGACGATCCCAAATCAATCATTAGCAATTACCAGAAAAACGCGCTCTAGGCGAGTACACCAGATATCGCAATTGCAGACATTACGTCCTGAATCACGGTAAGGTCAGGTTTTGTTTTACGAGAGAACGTGGCCTCTCGGGACAAGCAATGGCGATAAAATGCATTGACAGAGGAACAAATATAATTTGAAGTGGCCTTTTCTGTCATATGTGTAGTGGATCGTATCTTGTTTGGCGTTGATTTCATGTCAGCTTCACTATTTGCAAAGTTTTTTTTTCTTTTTTTTTTGAAGAAAACGCTTTTCCTTCACAGAGGACAGGGGAATTTTCATTGACTTTGAAATATTTCTTTTTGATCATTATCGTTAATCCATTAAATGAGCTTCTGCCTATTATCTACTCAGGGATGAAACTTAAACAGGTTTAGCAGGTCTGCCAATTTTGGCGAAAAAATCAGCTCAGTAAAGGAGCAATTAACATAGAACATTAATCAGCGTTCCAAGCCCAATTCGCAAATGCTAAGTAGTGACGTATTACTGAATCAGAATCTCTATTTTTTTCCCCTTTAGCTCATTGTCCATAGCCTCCAAAACTAACGCTACCTTAGGAAAAACCTTGCGGGCTATATTTCTGATGCAGAAGTTCGGCAACACCTACACTGGTGATCTCCACGAATAGTCAGGAAGTTGTGGGAAGCCGAGCAGGTTACAAAGCTTATAGCGAAAACTAATGTATAACATTTGTAAAGTTTCTCGAAATTCATTAATAATGTTCCACTAAGGTGTGCATTTGGGCTTTTTATAGTGTACCACTCCCACAGCGACGTTTTGAGTTAACATTTGAATTAAATTCTAGAATCTTTGAGCTTTTTTTGGAGAACCACTGATCAACGATTACAAACGCGTTATCGTCAGATCGCTGTTCTTGGCACTTCTTCTCCTATCTTTCGGACAAAAAACCAATCCGTGGAAGTATCGATTAACGATTGCTCAACGACTTTTTCGCCAAGCCTAGTCTGAAAGGCTCTTGCCAGAACTTTTTTTCAACTACTTCGTTATTTACCAATAAATTGCTTATAACCAACGAGTGTGGTTGGTCTTTGCCTCGCCCAAGTAGTCAACAAACAAACATACAGCACGGGCCTAGCACATGTTTCGATGCGAGCGACCCAGGTCGGAAAATTTTTTATCGTCAAGTCTGATTGATTGTTTTTATAAAAATGGCATTATAGAGCGTTTTTTGTTTCTAGCACTAGAAAGATGTAAAATTCAAGCATCATTTTTGTCAGTCTGAACTGAATACACAGCTTGGTAAACAGCTTTTATTTATTCACACTCCCTCAGCCAAGGCGATCGATATCTCCCGCAATGGAGCGTCCTCAACAATTCTTTACGAAAATGTGTTTTTTACTTCTCATGTTCTTATCCTTTCTATGCTTTCCAACGCCCTCAGTATCTTCTTCATC